ACGAAAGCCTAGTCATACATGATACTACATCCGCGGGTTTCGTGTGCACATCGTTCTTTTTGTTTGACAGCATGACGGCAGCCGGACTGGACTGTCCTTCAGCCGACGTGAGGCAACTCACTTACCTTCGGCCCTTCAGCCGAGCCGCCCTCAAATCGTCCTGAAGCCCTCGAAGGTGGAGGTGCGGTTCCGACCGACGGACGACTGACGAAACCGCAGCCCCCAACAACAAGCAAGCGTCCAAACGCATATCATATCGCCGTGCTTTTGGACAGATGCACCTGCGTCTCCATTCCTGATCCCTCGATTGAAGACTCAAACGTTGGATAGTTTTCTCAACGGAAAAAGCGTCTCTCCAGGCGACATGACTTAGCTATGTTGTTGTGCAGCAGTGCAATAGTCCAATCAAAGCCGCTCAGAATGATGATTTTTTTTTTTCTACAGTTTTCTACATCCTCATTTTCTACATCCTTTCCTACATCCGCTGACATGTATATCATGTTACATGTTCTAGATCCTTTTCAGTCTACATGGTATCGACACATCAGATCTTGCAAGCACGGTGCAGTCTTGCACAGCAGCTCGCGGCTCTGGAGATGCTGCGTCCAGAGACTTCCTCCGTCGGATCATCCGCTTCCCGTCAGGTGCCATCCGTCCCTTTACATCGATCTGCTGAGCCTCCTCTTCAGGCCCCACGAGACGTACCTTTGCAGGCGGGGTCAGAGGAATCAATTCCATCTCGCCTGGCCTGGCCGTCCAAAGCCGCTTGAAATTGGAGGAAGGTGATACTGTAGTGCCTTTCAACTCATACTCGTGCTGCACTGCTCTTTTTCGCCACACAAACAGATTCAATGTCTTTTATCGTAGAATTTCATGAATGTCCAGATCATTGAGGCCTCGAAGTATCCATGAAACGTTTGAACACATTCTGCTGCAAGACCTTTGCGATGATCCAGTCTAACGCCAGGAACTCTTTAAGGGCCGCGTGAGATCCATGCAAGATCCAGAGGACTGCAATGGCTGCAGCATGCTGCAGCTCCGTGTAGAGGAGTTGATGTCCAAGTCTTGATGACCATCCCCTGATTTAGTTTCCAGCAAGAACATACTTCAGCAAAACTGATGGCATCCCGAAACCCAGCCTGCTTGTACAGCGTCATAGAGCTGAGGTTTTCTCCCGACATGTGAGTTGAGAGTGCTTGAAACAGTTTGCTGGTTAGTTGAAACACAGCCTGCTTGTGGGACACAGCAAAAGCAGATGTTCCCTGTCGCGGACTCAGGAGCGCAAAACATTGCCAACGCCTAAGATCCGATACGCGCAGACAGAGATACGCACTCCATGCAACGGAGCCTCTGCATCCAAGTGAATGTAAAACTCACGCACTTAATGGCTCTTGCACGCACCACTCTTGTATCTTGTGGGATGCCATTGCCAAGGTGGAGCAAAGGACTCGAATTTGATGTGGCTTTGGTTTGGGTCTTAAAACACAATTGCCAGATTCAACATGATTCAACTGATTTACAGCAAATTTCAACTAATCATGCTGCTCATGCTCCTTGACAACAAGAGCACAAAGCCATGCACATCAATGGATTCAGAGCACTGAATATGGGATAGGAGCATGGTTTGGCCCATGTTCGGCATGAAGTCGAGTGCTTCAGTGTTTGCATTGGTTTTGGAGTGAGTCATTGCAGGGCGCATCACTAGCAACCTGCTGCACGCCTGCACGCTGCATCTAGGTCTTCCCGAACCCAGACTTTGAAGAGTCTCAAGGTGCGACCTGATGGCCTCCAACGCAATAGCAAACTGTATTAGACCGATTTAGACCGCCCTTCGCCTTCTTCCTATTCTTTTTTTCTTTGTTTCTAATAGCGATGGCCTCCAACCTCAAAGCGACTTTGAAGAGTCTCAAGGTGCCACCTGCACTACACAGGTCAGGAAGGACTGTTCGACACCCTGCACTGACGCACTGATGTTTTCACCAAAGGCGTCTACATCCTATTCTTTATCTCCTTTTGGACGCTAAAGGCAAAACTGAGATTTGCTTTGAAGAGGTCTTTCGGCTGTGTCTTTTGACTGCGTAGGAGTACAGGGATGTTGGCCATGTTGGATGTGCGGTTGGTGTCATTGAGTGATTTGAGTGATTCGACTCTTTGTTACCCAGCTAGGCTTGGGCATTCGCAAGAGCATCTTGAGTCGCAGCCACAGCTGTTTCTGTTTTCTCCAGTGACTGGTGTCATTAGATTTGACAAGCATGGTGAAATGCACTTGAGACTGCTACACAAGATGTGGATGTTGAGTCTACATTTATCCGCGCCAGTTCTTTTTGATATCCTTTTGACCATGGCCAACGCAAATTGTTGATCAGTCAAACATTCAGATTGGCGGTGACAGCTTCCTTACTGTTTGCATCTCATCATCCAAGGCCTTATTTGCGGATCTTGGCATGGCCCTGATTTGGCTAAGGTGCTCCTTATATCTCCTTATTTTCCGAGATAATTTTTGACATTCTCCCAGATTGGCCTTCCGGTGTTGCTTTGAGCTCGTCTTCCGCATGTCTTGAACGATGATCGGAGACGACGGAACTGACCTGTGGCTTCAGGTGCAGCGAGGAGTCCATCCACGCGAAGCCAAGCGTCTCTACCACGACCTTCTTCGGGATGAGACAGCTTCCACACAGGCTTTTGCACTGGCGGCTCTCATTTCGGGGTGTAGGCAAAGCCGATTGTGCCCTTGCAACACTCCATGGACTGTGGAGTTGGATCTTACCGGCTAATCCACTCGTCTCGTCGTTTCCCAGTAGCGATGCCCTCTATGATGCCCTTTGTTCCTAGTAGCTTCTTGTTGCCAGTAGTATGGCCAGGAGCTACGTGCGTAGCGTCCTTGCTCCGTTCGTAGCAGGGGCTCCGGGATGCGACCAGGATGCCTTCCTCAAAGCCTTTGATGAGTTGCGGCCCTGGATCCGTGGCCGTGGTCGTGAGGCGGGATCTTTGTAACACTGGGCATTCTGGTTGTGGGCTGGTCGTAGGGAAGTTGTATTCTTTTTGAATGACTGGGCAGAGGCTTCATTGATTCATATTATGCCTGCAAACTTCTTCTTAGCTGAATTTCCTTTGTCTCACGTCCCTAATGATACAACGCCTCGGATATGTCTTTGTCTTTGTGTATTTGTCCTGAATCGAAGTTGCTTTACTGGGTCGAAACTGACACGTTTAGAATGTGCCGGGCACGTGTTTCGCCTGGAGAGTTAAAAAGGTTCCTGCGTTGATCGTGCAGGAAGACTGGCCGCAGAGCACAGGAGCTTGATGCAATGCAGCTCCAGACCTGTCAGCCAACGCAACATATGAGCAACGGCTTTTATTTGCGGTAGTGAAGATTAGTCTAGGGGCGTTCCTTTTCTATAGCCCAATGTCAGATTTAGTTGGCGAAACGAGGTAGGAACACCCCGAGAACGAGATGGGCATCAAATGCGCCATTTGTTTGAAATGGTTTGGTTAATGACATGTTTAGCTTTTGAAACGAGGTAGGAACACCTCTCGAGAACGAGATGGGTATCCACACACCAAAACGAGATACAGGAATGGAGAACGAAATCACACACCAAAAGCGACGCGGGATTGGAGAACGAGGTAAGGAAGGTCCATGTGATAGTTTAACGGAAATAAATTCCATTGCTCATATGTTGAACCATGTGAAACCCAGCTGTCATTTTTTGGGGTGGAGGCCAGCGCTATTAGAAACAAAGAAAAAGAAAAGGAAGAAAGGTCGAACATGTTGATGTTTGTGCTCTCCGATGAACAGAACTCACATGAAGAACGTGCCATTCCATGGTGATGCTACAGATATGTTTGCCGGTCCTATCTTGATTGTTTGTGTATACTGTAATTCTGGTGTCAGTCCCGTTGCTTGTCAGGATGCCTTGCTTTTGTTCTTACCGGCCAAGGTATGAGAGGTTGGACTTGAATGATTTCGAAGCTTTCCAGCCTCATGGTCCATACCACCACAGCAATTGTATCATGGGGTTTGATCCACTTGCTTTCTGCAACAGCCTGTCTCAGGAGGTGTGCATGCATTTGCATGCTGCCCTTGACCTCACCTGAACCTGCACCTACACGTGAACACGTGAACAATGATTTAAAATTGGTACCGTCTTTTTTTCTCGCAGAACATACGATTCTGAAACAAGTCCTTGCCCTGGTCTCAATAAATCAGCTACGCATCAGACTTGTCAACACGATTCTAAACTAATCAGCGAATCTGGAAACGTTCACTAAAGTTTGTTCAGAGCAACCTGCACGAACACCTGCTTCCTTCACTGAAATGGTGTGGGTTCGTAAGAACACCCGAATAGCGATGACTTGCAACTTCTCACTGGCTCTGTAAAAGATTGTTCTTGCCATCCAGCTGTTGCAGATGGGTCATCCGATGTTCTTTTTTGAGCCAGCTCATTTGTCCACCGGGTGAAGTCGGCTGAAGTCGGGGAGTTAGTGGCACGGACCACTTGCCACGAACTTGCGTGGCACACTGCGGCAATCACATACAGTAGCCCCCACATGGAAGAAGACTTCATTTTCCAAACCCTTCTGCCAGAGGTTTGGTTGGGGGGTTCGTAGTGGTTGCAGCAAATGGTTCAGCTGCAGCATATAGCAAGCAGCTGTTTCCCACTGTGTGTGAGAGGAACACCACTGACTCCTCAGACACAGACTTCCCAGGCCAGGCTCGTTATTCTAGGCCACTCGTGGTGCTACAGGTTTGGCTACAGGTTTGACGAACGGAAACAACTGACCGGTTTGGCAGGCGAAGATGCGAAGAGAAGCATTCCGTTGTGGTTCCCAGCTGGACCTACTGTTGAAGAGAACCATTCCGTGCCAGAGCTTTGATCCTGGCTATACCAGTCCACACTACTTGTATGTGCCAAGCAAGGGGAGCCCTTCGATCTTGGCACACGAACAAACACTCACATTGACCCATATAGCAAAGCATCACTGAGGTTGCTTAAGCCATGGGGGCAGCTTCCGACGAGTGGACGCTTAGCGACGCCTTAAGGGACGGAGCCAGGTATGACCCAAACCTAGTTGCATGCTGGTCACGGTGTTTCAACCATATCAAGCACTCAGTCTATTTCCGGACCTACAGCTCATGTGGTGGGTGGTTGCGATGTTTGGGCAGTGAAAGGTGCTCAAGTTGGAATAGCCGAATCACTCCTTTGGCCATGTGTTTGTCCTTCGTTCCGGTCGAGTTTGGTGCAGTTTGCAGATTGCGTCTCAGGATCTTGAGCAGAAGAGAGGAGGCCGCTCAGACTATGGTGAAAATATGGCATCTCAAGTTTCGAGGGATAGAATTTGTAGAATCCATTGAACTCCCAAAGGGACAACGCCTAAGATGCCTTAGCCGCTCTTGGTGTTGATGCCCTTTTGCGATTGCTGCTCAACCTCCCCCCGTACCTACGAACTTGTCAGGTCCTGAAGCAGAGCGGGACTGTGAATTGGGCTACATCAGCTACTTGGGCTCGGTTTGACCCATCGCACCACTGCATCCAACCCCAACCTTGATCCAGCAGCTTGGGCTTCAGCATTTGCCCAGCTGTCACTTAGTTTCAGCTCTCCATCAAATTTCATGTCTGGACTCGGTGATGTTTTCTATTAAGCCAGGCTCAGCACCGGAGGTCTTGTATCAGCACACCTTGGATCCCAGCCTCTCCGGTGCCACAGATCTTTTGTTGGCACCTCAGTAGAACACCGACTGAGCAAATCACCAACAGGCCCTTTCACAGCTTTCATGTGTTCTGTCTGCATGCGCAGCCTGCCCTACCCTTCTTTTTGGGGGGTTGTGGCCGCCTGCGCGAAATGAGATCTGGTTTATGACCGTGCGACATGGTTGGACGAACTCGTTTGCAAGGTCATTGATTCGCAACACAGTGGTAGCCTTGCTAGCCCGCTCGAGTCTCAGCTGCCGGCATGGTTCAGGCATCAGCAAATGTGCTGAGAACTTGATATTTCCAGACAGTATAATAACGTGCCATTCCACTTCTTAGTGAACTCCGTTGAGCTGTATCAACTGAGACTTCAGGCAGTGGGCTGATAGTCGAATTGGTCTTCTCCTCTGACTTCAGGCGCTCAAGACTGTTGATCTCCACATACTTACTACATAACCATACATAGCCTACTATAGAACAAAGAACAGGAGCTATGAGACCATGGAGATTCATTCTTTCCCAGTGGTCTATTGGCCCGCTTGGCCGCTTGGAGCCTCTAGACAATCTGGGAGGACGATTGAAGGACTTGTCCAGTAAGGTCTAAGATTGCAGAATGCCTCCTTTGTTTTGGTGGATTGACGGATTTTTTCAATTTCTTTTCATTGACTGTATATAATATGATACAACTGATGTTTTGAAGGGCCATGTCATCATCCATTGCTTGAGATGTTTCCGGCGACTTCATCGGCTCCAGGTGGATCTATGCCTTGATCTCTGCTGGCGAATCAGCCTTAGAGGCCAGGTTGGAGCAATTCACGGACGTCGAGTGCTTTAAATGTAGATAACCCTCTGTGAGCAGGTGATGGGGTGTTACTTTGTTACTAACAGTTTCTTTTCAAAAATCATCTTCCTGTTTCATCGGACAGTGGCCGAGAATTATTTTTTCGAGTTCGAATTCCTGGAGCGTGAACGCGTTTCACTCTATCCTTTTCACTGTTTCCTGTTCAGGAGCTTGCAGCCAAGCACAGCTATCCAAGAGCACTGGATTTGGAATGTGTCGATCCAGAGGACAGCGAAGTGAGGGATGTGGAAATGCTCGCTCAGTGGTGCTTTTCAGTTTGCTCTCAGTGGTGCTTTTCTTTGGGTATATTATAAGGGGCAACATAGAAGCCACTTTTTTCCAAGCCTTTGGACCTTGTGCAGGCCACGGAGCCCTGCGACGCTCAGTATGACCCGCTCTCCCTGGTTTTTCAGCGACATGGATGTCAAGAGGCTCTGCAGCTTTGATGATTGAACGTTGGTGTATGAAGCTGCTCGTCAGACAAGACTTATTGCAATGGACTTGAATCATTTGCTCACACCGAAAACCATCGAAAACACTATTTAGAAGCCAAAAAGACCAGCAAGAAACCGACAGTGATGGTTTTGTTTGTCAACTTGGCATAGCTACCGATTGACAAATCCACGCATCGCAGGTCGTGGAGTTGTTGCGAGCACTGCGGCCTGAGGAACGGTCCAGCGAGGCATTTCGGCCAATGGAAGGAAGCTTCTCGAGGTCTTTGACACACTGTACGACCGTAGCCAGACTATATAATTGTATAGTATATAGCCATGTGCAGGTCTTTGACACACACTTCGACATTGGTTTTCAGTTAACTCAATTTCCAGGAAAAATGGTGATGGAACGGCACGGTGAAAGGTCCGATGAGTTGAAGGTGTTTCAACAAAAGGGTTTGCTCACAATGACATGCTGCAAAAACGCACGGCTGCTGCAAAAGCTGGAAGAAGAAAGGTTTGGGGGAAGTATCATGAAGGACCATGAATCAAAACGTGAAGAGTGGAGTCACAGCTTGAAATCGTTCAGCAGGTACACATCCATGGCCAGTGGATGCTTCCCTCTCTGATGCATAGCTTCGTTGGACAGAGTAGCATCAGAGAGCTCTGTCCCCCTGCTGGAAGTTGGTTGAAAGAACCCTTTGAGACAGGGCTGGACACACACACGGTGCCGCTTGGCGGCGCTCGCGTGAGAAGCCTGAATAGATACCTAAAACGCCTTAGAAACGAAAGAAAGAAAGACAGAAAGAGCAGCGCTAAGAGGGCAAGAGAGAAAGATAGGTGTAGAAAATGAAAAGTGAATTTTTAGCACTTGACTGGGGTAGGGAAACGAGCCTCAAGAGCGACCTAAAAAGCCTGAGAGAAAGCCCAAGAAACGACCAAAAGCGCAAGAAGGAAAAGGGGGGGCAGGGAGGGGATGTATGTCCATGTGTGTGTACGTGTGTGTGTGTGTGTGTTTGAATACCTAGCACTCTAGGATTACTGAATACTTAGACGAAAAGAATTGCGTGCACTAGTTAGGGAGCGGGACTTTTGTCTTACACCGCCCGGGTAGAGTAGACTAGAAAAAGGGACAACAGAGGGACCATTTCCCTATGTTACCCTAATTAGGTAGGGAGTAGAACACAGTTGGGGGGGGGGGTCGGGAGACCTGCCTCAAATTTGGTTAAAGCCATTTTTTAGCCCGGCGGCTATCAAATTCGTTTTTAAGCCCGACGGCTGCATGAGCAGTGAATTCAGGGTGGAGAAAGATCGGTGAAGAGAGGTCGATGAAAGAACGATGATTCAGTAACACGATTTCCGGCATGCAAGCAGCGCCTCCTTGCGGAGGATCACACCCAGCACCCA